TTAAGCTTTTATTTGATTATTCAAAAGATTATGAATACATCAAACATGACTTAAGTGAACATCAGTTGTATTGTAGTAGTGAATATAAGGCTACTGTTGATAAATATACAGAAACATTTAGGATGTTAAAGGAGACATGCAAAGGAAAGGATAAACAGCGTTCATATTGTAATAATTTTCTTAATTCTTTTAAAAGAGAAAAGTGGTATGAAATATCTACATTGTCATGTAGTGAAAGGGTAGATAGTGCTACTATTGAAGGACTACTTGAACAACAAAAAATATCGATACTACACAATAATGAACAAGATGAATATATTCTTACGGGTGAACAAAGCTTTGAACATATAATTTCAAATAAAACTTCAGTTTCTTCAACTTCAATAAGTATGGTCATAGTTCCATTAGTTATTGGAATGACAATTTTTTCTATTATAATGTGCAAAGTAATTATTAATCTGAATAAAAAAGGAGCATGTATTACATTAAATTATGTGAATTTTACTAATTTATAAACATGTGTCCAATTATTATACATAAAATATGTTCTAGATATATATTTTTTTGTGTGTTTAGTTTACTCCAGTTGGATACTGGTTAAGAAAAGTCATATTAGGAAAATGTAAAAGGAGACGTAATCATATAATGGTTAAGAATAATATAGAAAATTTTTCAATCCATAAAGTTTTAGATACGCAGAAAAGATTTAATTTAAGTTACGATAATGCATATTAGTTCTGATTAGGACGTACCAAGGAATATTTTTGGAACATATGTCGTCATCATAATAAGCATTATGGTACAAAATTATTCATTCACTAAAAGTGAAGGAATTATTTTTTTTTTGAATAATACAATACCAAGCTTGAAATGTATATATTTATTATATAGATAAGTGTTTTTTAAATATCAAAATATATTTTTAATTCTTCGATATCCAAGAATATTAAAAAATCATAAGAAAACTAATTCCAAAATGAATAATGATTAAGAATTAGGTATACAGTAAAATAAATGGGTTTGCTAATGTGTTATAATATTTATTGTTATTTTATCAGTAGATTGAATAGATAAATTAAAATTATAATGAAATATATTTTTTTTTTCTTCATACCAATAATAGTAATATTGTATATAATAAAGCAGAAATTATATAAAAATTATTAAATTAACTATATTTTTATTAATAAATTACATATATTAAATGAATTTTATAATAATAGCTCAAGACATGTACGCACTTTTATAAAAAATTAGATATTAGTATATAGATGAACATTAAGCACATTTCATATGTATTTAGTTAATATTGATTATAAATAACTAAATAAAAAACTAATTTCTGTATTAGAATTAAATTCTCTATAATTTTTTTTTATAATATGAAATATGATATAGTACCTTCCTACATTATCTTATTAATATATGCCAACAAATTTTAATTGGAAATTATATCAGATCATTCCCTTTTTTTGCAACATTTCTGTTAATATATTATTGAACATAAGTAATTCTACCATTCCGTTACATAATGCTTTTCCAAATAAATGATATCCAATAATTTATCGTTATATGAAACTCCTTTTTTCACATGTTCTTTTAATAGTAATATAAATTTATAAGTAATTATAAATTTTTTCTTATTTAGTAACATGTTAAACAAGTTTATAGTATAACATAAATACTATCTGAATGACAATATTAAGTTAATAAAAATATGTTATTATTTTCATTTCATATAATGAATTACATTAGATAGATAAATTTATTTTCTTATGTGTCACAGTTCGCAGAATTTACTAAGATAATGTTGACACAAATTATATATTATGATTTATAAAATTACTGGAAACATAACACTAATACTACAACAATACAAGATAGGAATACAATATATAT